GATTGGGAATGGAATTAAGTGTGAGCCCCCAATCCATTCATATATCTCTGATTTATGTATGTCTCTGGTTCACTTTCGCACCATCACCATTTTATGACAGGGCACTTTATAAATCATCCCTATGGTGCATTATACTGATAGTGCCATTAATTTAGCCAATGATGTAGTGTTTAAAGCACTCTTGAGAAAAGTCAATTATACACGCATAGGCCTGGGTCACACTTTACAGAAGCAAACTGTCACATCTTTTTTCCTCATGAAAGAGCTGGTGGGGTTCAACTGCCAATGTTTGGTTAGAAGCTGAAGTTGAATCACTGTGTAACTGTGGCTCCTCTAGTGGATTTTGACCCACTGCCATCCAGTCGGTGACATCTCAAAGCAATCCGAGTAGGCAGGGTAGAATTGCTCTCTCCGGTTTCTGAGGCTGTAATCCTTTAGGGAGCAGCTTCATCTTATGTTTAGCAGCCTAACCAGATGCATTCCCATGGCTCCTCCAGTGTTCATTTTGGGGCGTGTAAAGAGTAAATGCCACCGTGCTCACTTTGGTGGTGCCAAGCTGATGACCTTTAAGCAGCCCTCCCATGCCCACCTCTTTTTCTTGATTCCACCCTTTCTCACCACACACCCACACCCCTGCCCTCCCGCTGCCATTTTACCCTTGGGGGGTCTATCCATTTTATTTTGGGAGTTCTTGAAAAAAAAATACCCGAGGCTCATTAGTAGGAAAACAGGCTGCCCATTGAGGTGTGATTAAGGAATATAAAGCAATAATAAACATTATACGTCTTAAATACTTATGAGATCTTGCTTGAAGGAACGGCAAGTTCCCAAACTACCTGCAGAAACCTTGTTCACACCAATTGTCACTGGGACCTGACTTTAAACTCTGTGAAGGAAATGGCCCTTGTAAAGGAAGGGGACTAAGCTCTGAGCTCTGAACTGATAGTGAAAACCACAAATCCAAACCCACCATCATCGGTTTGTTTCTGACATCTTTCTCCCATGGAGTAAGTGATGACTCTCATCTACCAAACTTGCAGTTAGCAGCTCAATGCTCTTGTTAAGTCCTTGATTTCTCCCCTGTCCCTCCAGTCTTAGCAAGCTCATGTAGGCTAATGGGTCTACTTAGCATCTTTACCACCACCCAGTGTCAAGTGAATTAAGTATATAGTTAAAATACTTAATCAACTCAATGCTTATGATTTGTTGACTGGAATTATATCATAGTCAGCAAACATTAAATGCTATCAGAACAGCAATTTTATCTTACCACCATGTGCATGGTTTTTTCCCAATAGTTGGGTGTTACTCTCAATCATATCTATATTGCAGGAGATAATGCAGGCTCTGTGATAGACCTTGGAGGTGGTGTTGTTAAGGAGCACTCTAGTCTGAGAGCTTTATAACCTGTCTTTCTGCCCTCTCCAAACCAGGCCTTACCAGCTCCAGATAATTTTACAAAATGATTGCTAATCTTGGTGCTCATTTCTCAGGGAAAAAAATCAAAGGTGTTCAAAAAGAAATTGACATTTAAGTGATGTAAAATCAAATCTAGCATTTATTTCTCAGGGCTTGAAAACAACCCGTGCATGTGAACAAAGCCTTCGAATGTGTTTTGGTCAGTAATTTTTAAAATGCTTTAAACTGTAAATGCATTTAAGATAGGCAGATGCTAGGCAGGTCAGCCAAAGTCCCCACTACTCCCACCTGTGTTGATATTCACATTTAGGTACCTGGAGAAGGCATGTTTTCATTAAGCGGGAAGTTGAATTTTTCCAGGATGCCTTCCAATTATGATTTTTCTCCTATATGCAATGCAGAAATGCAAACTTTTAAAAATAGCTTCCTTACCCCATAGGGACAGGTTCAGGGATGGTTCCACCCCATCTGTACAAGCAAAGTTCACAAGGTCTTTATTTGACAAAGTGACTTTCCATTTCCCTAAGTAGAGTGGCTACTGTGGTTGGTGCCTGCCCTAGATTCCCCAGTCCGTATTTCTGGTCTCAGTTTACACTTGCCACTCCTCACTAAGAACTGCCTTTGGTCATAGGGACCTGCTCCGTCACGGGATGGGATTCTTAGGGGATGACTAGTGAAAGGACCCAGGTAGCATAGCTCTTTGCCTCAAAGGAGGACGACTCTAAAGGTCGCTTCCAGCTCCCCATTAGGATCAACTGAAGCTTTAGCTCTAACTGTATCAGAAGTCGGCTTTTCTACCTTCCTTCCTTACCTACTGTCTTAGGTCTATTTCCTAAGCGTTTCTCCCAGTAAACCTTCTGTCCAGGCTCTGCATCTCAGAGTCTGCTTCCAAAGAACGCCACCCAAGTCAAGGACTTAACCAGAATACATAAAGGTTGAGTTTGCTATCGTGCTATCCCAATAGGCAAAAAGAGCACTGGCACCAAAATTCACAAAGCACTTCAATGCTGCCATGAAGAGAATCCTTAGATGTTACTTATTGCAACCCATTCTTCTTCCAGTTGGAGAAGATGAGGCAGAGAACCAAACTTATTTGCTCAAGGTGTCAATGCTACTTAGGTGGGAAAACCTGATAAAATCTAGATCTTCTGCCTATCTAGGCAGATGACAGTATTTTACCATTGAACTACTTCCCTGGAAACTATGGCAACATGTGAGAATCAGACCAGACTTGGAAGCCTATCCTCCATGGAAAATGCCAATTAAATTTCTGACCATTCACTGAACAGTTAAGGATGAAGCTGGGTGGTAGTATACTTTATTAAAAACAAAACAGGCCCATGAAAGCAGAATCTGAACGTCAATGGCAAACCACACACACATGTACACTCCTACATGTAACACTGGGGCACATCTCAGACTTAGACCATTGGGCACCAAGTTCACAATAAAAAAAATATGGCTCACAATCCTTCAGTATTTTTCTTTTATGTAGGAGCATAACTGTTATGACCCCAAAAAGTAATTCTAAGATTTGTTTTACTGTGGAAGGTGGCACATTCAACTTCCAGAACTGTGAAGTGGATGTCTTAACAGACCGCATCCTGTTAGTTTGTTAGGCAGACTTCGGTTTCTCTGGTATTTTCACATTGGAAAAAAGCACGTATGACGGGAGTTCTCCATTCCAATTTCATATCTAGATAGACCCATCTGGACTGGCCTTACTTTTGATACCAAATCTGTAGCTTAGCAGGACTGATCTAATTAGGATAGATTGATTTCCTAAGTTTGCGAGGACAGTAAATCACTGTTAAGTTCCTTTAAGACTTAGATATGTTAACAAACAGATTACTGTTAAACCTGTTAGTAATTCAGAAGTTTAAATCAGCATTTTTCTGAAGGTGTGTCAGGACTGAGTTAATCAGTAAGTGAATAGAAATAACTGAAACAGATTAGGAATGTTACTCACAGCACTTTGATAATATACAGCAATGCATGTACTGGATGGAGTGTGCCTAAGATATTACTCAAATCCCTATGTTAGCGAAAAACCCTGCTCTTTGCTCTTAAGGAGAGACAGTACCTTGGTAGACCTTAAGTCCTTTTACCAAAGTCTAGTGGCTTAATTTCAGACTTATGATAAAGTTAATAAAGCACTAAACTTGGTTGAACGGTTTCATCTGGCAATCATTAATTTCCATTAAACAAAAATAGGAAATTAGGTGGAGGTATTAGAGGATAATGGATATGAAATAAAATACTAGAAAAGGGAAACGTAGAAGCAGCAGTAGGCTCATCACTCATAATAATTTGGGGAAATTTAGTTCAGGTGCAAATACAATGGTCTCTCTCTATGATAAAAGTATAAAATAATTGAGGCACATAATGATTAACCTGAATAATAAAGATGAATATGAATATAGTATATTTAATAATGTGTGGAAATATTACCATTAAAATTTTTATTTAAAATTCTGAGCACAGCAAAGAGTAAACTTCAGTTATCTAGAAATTGCATTTAAAATGAAATGCCTCATTCATCAACAATGAAGGATAAGGTATTATTGCATATATACCATGTGTACCCAAATCTACTGAACCTTTTCAACTGCTTTGTTTGGTCACATCTGTGTTGATACTTTCCAGACATTTACACTACTGGAAAACGTTGTGGGTGAAACATTTGGATGGGATGGATTATATAGGACAGAGAATAAGACAAATTAAAACACAGCACCCTAATTTCCTTTCTGAAATTGATCATGTTAACAAATAACCATCAGAAATGTCTCATGTGTGCTTTAGTACTTGAGAGAAGAAATTGGTATGTTAATATTTTCTCAATGACATGTGAAATATCTGCCCACTTCTACTATGACCACTGGAAAAAACGAGGGGAACAAAATCCACAAGGAGAAAAAAAAAAAGAAATGAAAATGTCACAAGGAGCCTTTAGATAACTAAGGTCTACCAGGAATAAAAAAAAGAACCCTATTACAATGGGTGTAGAATGTTGCAATTGAAAATGAGGGAACTGATGTCTAGCCATAAAGAGAATATGGCCCTGCAGTGTCCCATGCAGACCCTAGTCAGAGAGGTCTCCTGGGGGGACAGTCCTGCCACTATTTTAGTCTGCTCACCTGGGGAGCTACTTAAAAGACACAGCAAGGCAATTTAAGCATTCTATCGTGGTAAACATTCTTTCCTTTGAAAAGCATACAAATAAGCCGATTCTAACACAGGATGTTTAGAAAATTTACAGGAATTATAAGTGGTCAGGAGATTCCCAAGGCCCACAAGATGTCCTCCTACTGTGGCTTGAGGGTGACACCCCCAAACCCACAAGTTCTTATGTACCATTCCCAGGTTCAAAGTGGGGTGTGTTCAACCCAGCAAGCTCTCAGCCTCCCAGCTCTGTACTTTTGCACTTCACACCATTTCCTAAGGATTAGAAAAACACTCACAGTCTGGGCCTTTAAACCTATTCAATCGCTATAGACAAAAAGCTCAATGCTTTATTTCTGAAATCATTAGGTATTCTATATTGACAGAGAAAAAACAGAACACTTTAACTTCAGGAATTGGAGCGATGCTGAAAGGTTTTATTCGATCAATCAACACAGGTTATTCCACACAGGCATGCAAGATGTAACTTGGTCTTACTGAAAAGAGTTAGGTGATTCTTTGGGCTGATTTTACTTTAACATGGATGGAAACTAAACGGATGGATTAAATCTAGGGCATTTAAAGATGGACCAATGAGCAGCTCTTGATTTTCCATTTGATTATGCCAGTGAAAAAGCAGCAGAAAGCATGAAGTTAATTCTTTAGGGTCTGTGTAGCATCTTGCACTTGTTTATCACAATCCACATGGCAGTTACTGATGCTGAAAACCCAATGAACTTCAGTAAGCCACTCACAGATGGTAGGTTCCTTTCCCAGAAGGAATGAGTGATTTCCACAGATGGTACATCCTAGGGGAGTAAACATTGAATTAGTAGAAATCTCCTGCATCGACAAGGAGGACTGAAACATCTGTAGAAATATGCAAAGGGATATCCCCTGCATAGCTGGGCTTATAGTTAAATCACAAGCAGGCAGAAGAGATATGAAATAGGAGTTTTATATGTGGCTACTGGTTTAAGCAAGGACGTCACTTTGAGGACTACAGTGCACTTGACCCAAGCCGTGGTCTTTTCAATTGCCTCATATACATGTGAAAGCTGGAAACTGAACAAGGAAGACCAAAGAAGAATCAATGCATGTGAATTGTGGTGCTGAAGAATATTGAAAGTACCTTGGACGGCTAAAAGGATAAACTGATGTGTCTTGGAAGATGTATGGCCAGAGTGCTCCTTAAATGCAAGCATGGTGAAACTTTGTCTTGCATACTATGGACATGTCACCAGCAGAGACCAACCCATAGAGGAGGATATTATGTTTAGTAAAGTAGAGAGGTAGTGAAAAAGAGGGAGGCCTTTAATGACATGGATTGACACCATGGCTGCAACAATAGGCTCAAACATGGAAACAACTGTGAGGCTGGCGCTGGACTGAGCAGTGTTTTTTGTTCTGTTGTACATAAGGTCACTATGAGTTGGATCCGACTGGGTGGCATGTAACAGTAACACTGGTCTATGGAGAAGGGGCCATCAATCATACCACTGAGTCAGGTTCATGGATCCAGATGTCTTTCTTTGCCACCTTCCCCAAAGAATTCAAGACCTGAAAGAAAGTGATCATATAGCATTATAAAATAAGATTCTATATTTTTGACCGATACAAGGCTCTGCTAGACATGAATGAGGTATGCAGGAATAGACAGATTCTATCAGGGTCAAGAACTAGAAAGACCATATTGTAGTAGCGGTGCTATGACTCAGAAGAAAGAGGGATTTGGCTTCCTCCTTACCTCTCTAGCTGCCCTTTCCCCGGCCTCTACTGCTCCTTCCATATATCCACTCCATTGTGTGGCTGTCTCGGTACCAGCGAAGTAAATCTTTCCCACAGGCTGGCGAATTATCCTTGATAGGGCCAGACAAATGTATCAATTACTGTTCTCTTTGATCACCCAGAAGACAGGGAAATTATTTTTGAAACATTTCAAAAGTTTAACCAACGGTGAAAATCTGCTTCCTGTATCCTGGGCCTGCACCCAAGGGTCTGAACTGTCAAGCCAAAGGGAATAAGGCTTGAGTGTTTCCAAGCCAGTCAGAATTGTAAATATAAGCATATGCATGAAGTCTATAATCATATTTATTTGCTGGGGATTTCCTATTAGATGTCCATTTTGTTCCCTACACTGGGCCAGGTCGTGTCCTGATGAGAACTGCATTTTTCATGAAATCACAGCTACCGACCCCAGCACTGGAAACCTTCCCAGTGTGGGAGAACCTGGAGGGGGAGTGGAGGCAGAGGAAGGAATAACTTTCACTTGTGGCAAAGAGGTATCTGAGGGTTTTAAAGTGTGTCTCCATTCAAACAACCTTTGTATCATACTGTTAGCGTCTATACATTTACCTGGGGGGCTGGATGAGAACAGAGAATTATGGACCGTCTTGGAAAAGATAATCAAGGGCTAGGTTGAATAGGCAACTGGACCATCTTACTTTCTTGGATGAGTCTTCTAACCTCTCTGCACACTAGCTTTCTGAAATCTTACAAGGTAAACATCCTTACCCCATCCATCTTCATCTCAACCTAATGTCACCCTTTTCTCCAATTCAGGAATTCTTACCCTTGTCTATTGCTGATCAGAAAACAGAAATGAGAGTATTTATACAATGTTCATTGAGTGTTGAAAATCTTTTAAGTTTGGTTCATGGCTTTTATTAGTTAGTCAAGTAGTTTGGTAGTACCTTCCATATTGTGTCATTATCCCAGGGGGAAAATAAGCCGTGTAGCAACCCCCGGAATATTGTTCCTCACACCAATTCTTCTCTTCATAGTGTACAGGCTGCAGGTGAGCAGGAAGACAATTTCAAGGGAAAAACATAAAATCATTCAACTCATTGAAAAGAAACATCATAGTACCAAGTAAGGGCCTTTATAAAATACCAAGTGATAAGAGGGGGCAGAATTTTATTTTCTTCAACCTCTTGTGTAGAAGAGAAACAAAGTATACCATTATCTGGAAGAGAGGACACTTCTATTCAGACTATAAAGCCTTTAGACAGAAACAAGAAGTCCCATGAACAAAATGTACTTCCCCATCTATCCAGAAATCACTCCTGGGGAAAGGGGTGGGGATGGGGAGTGGGGAAAAGGAAATAGAAATTAAGCACTTCTCTAAGCTGGGAAAATGAATGAAGGTAATCCTGCTTAAAAGTGAGCAAAATGAAAAATGTTTCCTAAAGGACATTGAGAGTCTTCTTTCATTTCCCTAACATATTTTGAAGGTTTATTATTTGAATGGTTCATAGATAATGCCCTGAAACGGCCCCACAGCCATCTAGTAGGCTCTTTAGAATTAACTTCATTCTCATAATTTCTTTCAGTAGTGAAATGAAAACAGTTAAATTCCTTAAATGGGCTGTGAACTGAGTCTACAGAGGGAAAAATAAATTAGATTCAGTCCATCTTGTCATGGTCTATGTGCCTTCAAGAGCGAATGATATTGTATCTGGGGTTTTATTTTGCAGCTGGAAGTTGACACTGACAGGAGGGCAAATTCTCTGTTTGGGGGACTCAACTTACCACCCTTGAGATAATAAATACAGCTCCAAACACTAATTACAATTGCCTGCAGGTTATCCGGTTATCATGCTATCCCAATGGAACCTCATCATCAGAAACTAGGTGCATGTCATCAGCCTTTTACAATAGCTGCAGTTAAACCTTCAATTTAAGCATATTCAGTCAGACCCTCTTCGTAAGGTAGATGATCAGGAAACCAGACACTTGTCTTACTTTACCACTTCAAGCAGACTAGAATCTATTAGTGAGTAAAACTGCCAGTTTCTTACATGCAGGGCTTCCTGAGATCCTAGAACTTTGGCATACAGTTCACAGATCTTCCTCTTTCTGTGAGAAAGAATAGCAAGATATAAATGTTAACGAAATAATAGAGCACATACACTGCCACAGAACAAATTTATTGAGGAAAATTTTAAATTAATGGCCTTCTAATTACACAAAACCTCCCGTTGCACATATTTCTGCACTCAAATTAACCCTGTATGATTTTTCAGTCAATGATTTGATTATTTTTTATATTATGCCTCTTCCACTACCCAATGTGATATCAGATATTGATATTTATCTGATATTGATATCAGATAAAGGAGATGAAATAAACTTAGTTTTAAGAATTAATTCTAAGTCACTTTCTCAAATCTGTAGATTCCAAGGAATTTTATAAACGTACAGTACATATGAAGGTGAGAGTCTTTAAAATACCCTAAAACTAATTCTCAATATGAAGGGGCTTCAAAAAGTTCTTGGAATATGTTCCTAATAGGACATTTTTGATTGAGTATCGATCCAGCCACATGTTATAGACAACTGGGACGTTTAGACTCTTTTTCCAAGGTGCATCCTACATAGGCCACACAGAAAGGTCTGATTTAGAAACTTCACTAAGCAAACTGGACTTTACTTTAAACACACTTGTAGCAGATTAAAGGAACTGAAATACTCCATTGGACTTAAGGCTGAAAAGCCCTAGTGTGAGAAAAAGCAGATGATTACTACTATCCCAAGGGTATGGATTTGGAAGTCATTGAACTTTGGTTCGGATCTCTTGCATTGAGGGTGTTCAATAAATGACACATATATCTGTTATTTTCATGCTCTTTGTTTTTTGTATGATATATCATAGTCCAGCAGTCATGGTTCTACATTTATGAATGAGCATTATTAAATGTTTTACCCTATCTCCAACCTTCAAATGTTTGTGTAAACATTAAGTTTTTAATCTATACAAGCCAACAATCCATGTATTTTAGACTAAAAAACTGTCCTATACATACTTTTTTTCATCTTTTCTCAACAGTATTTTAAATTCTGTACCACTGGTTAAATATGCATTGGGCTGCTAACTGCCATGCTAGCAGTTTAAAACTACCAGCTGCTCTGAGGGAGAAAGATGGAGCTTTCTACTCCCATAAAGCATTACAGGCTTGGACACTAACAGAGCATGCCCACCCTGTCCTATAGGGTCACTATGAGTTGGCATTGACTCAGTGGCAGTGAGCCTTTGACAACAATGTCTCTCATGTAGGCCAGGAGCATATGTAAACCATAGATAATAAGAATGGATCCGGGGCTTCTATTTAACCGTAGCCCTATTCTAAGAACAATGTGTTCTTATGACATGGCCCTACTCAATACTTGTCCTCATGAAGAGAATACTAAAAATATGGGTGCTATTGCAAAGTGTGGTGAAGAATTTGGATTGTACCAGACTATAAGAAAAAATGGCATCTTGGGCCTTAAAGAGTTGTCTTAAAACAAGTAGTTGTCTAAATGAAGTGTCAGCGAAGTCCACATGGAAGCAACACACCAGCCTGTGTGATCCAAGGAATGTAAATAATAAAATCCAAGAGCAGAGGAGGAAACCTTATTAGAAATTCAATTCTGAAAACTGGATTTGCAGAATGCTATAGATGACAGTGAAAGCCCAAAATCCACTTGCACAGTCCTCCTGAGGGTTAAGATTCTGGGGAATCTCCCGTGACTATTGGCAAGGGATGTGAACAGCATTGCTATTAGACAGAGTGGATGAAATAGCCTTATTATCAGAGTGAATTGGGTAGTGAATCATGCAGATGTAGTTAGGTTAAGCTGTAATACCTTATCATTTGTTCTCTCTTTGGAACCATTTTAAATTTGTTCTATATATTTTTTAATTCTTTTCTTTTTGACTGAGCTTTTCCGTTTTATTTGGAGCTTTTGGGGGGTATGTTTTTCCTTATATGAAATCCAGAATAGGTAAATTTATAGATAGTAACTGGATTAATAGTTTCTTAAGGTTATGGCAGGGGATGTTGGTGAGAAATGGGGAGCTAATAATGAATTCACGAATGAAGTAAATATTGTAAAATTGTGGTGATGATTGCACAATTCTTTTTAATATATTTAACCATTTAATTGTGTGATGTGTGGATTATATGTCAGTAAAACTGCTAAAAAAATTTTTAAAAAGATTTATAGCCTGGGAAATCCTATATATAGGGTTACTGTAAGTCAGAATTGACTCAATAACTGATTTTGTTTCACTTGACCTACTAGTTCACTACATAAATAGATGTAATTGATATGTTTTGCTTTTGTAAAGTGAGTTGCATAGTGAGTTTTTAATTATATCATGCAAGCACATTAAAAAATGGAGACAAATTACCAATGGAATCACTTCCTTAACTAACATGAATTCTAAGATTTATAATCATCATTGGCTTTAGATTCTCTAAGAGGTTTAAGTTGGTCTGTGTCAGCTCATCTGTCCTGCTTTTAAAATGTTGGAAATAAAACATTTCCTTAAATGAAAAAAAAAAGTTCATGGAAAAATAGAGTTAAAAGATAATGGAATTTTTCCTTGAATTTTTTGAAGCTCCCACATATCTACGAACATCCTAAGCTCATTCAATCTTTTAAACACAGGGTCCAATATATCATGCTGGGAGAGGACTTAGGTCAACACAGTTTAGTAATTTTAAAAACCGTTTTATTGGCACATATATCACATATCATAGAATTCACTAGTTCAACCATATCAAGAAGTTTAATAATCTTGCACTTGACAGAATGGTCTCTGGAGCACAATACCCCAAAGGGCATTCAGTTGAGGGGTAGATGTTAGGTGATGCTACCTTGAACACAGTCTTTGCTGCTTCTCCTCATTCATCATTTAAATAGTAGCACAGAACAGACACATATTGGGTCTTAAACATCAGTATCTTATCTAAGCTCTTTTTTTCTTGCTTTATTTTATTTTATTTTTTAATCATTTTATTGGGGCTCATACAATTCATCACAATCCATGCATCCATGCATACATCAATTGTGTAAAGTACACTTATATATTTGTTGCCCTCATCATTCTCGAAATTCGCTTTCCACTTGGGTTCCTGGAATTAGCTCCTCATTTTCCTTTTTTCCCTCCCGCTCCCCCCTCCCTCATGAACCCTTAATAATTTATAAATTATTATTATATCTTGTCTTACACTGTCTGGCGTCTCCCTTCACCCACCCTTCTGTTGCCCAACCCCCAGAGAGGAGGTTATATGTAGATGATCAATTCCTCCTTTCTACACCCCCTTTCCTCCAGGTATCGCCACTGTCACCACTGGTCCTGAGGGGTTCATCTGTCCTAGATTCCCTGTGTTTCCCATTCCCATCTTGAAACAAGATACACCTTAAACTCACAACCCCTCCCCACCCCCTCTATCCCATTCTCTCTCTCCTGTGTGTCTGTGTGTTATGAAGTTTTATTTTAGCCTAGTTGAATTAGGGGTGGGGAAGTTGGGACAATTACTCTTGGTTAAAAATGTTCTAATTCATTGAAATCATCTGTTTCAGAAATTAATGGTTCTATTATTTCCAGATTAGTTTGAACAGGTTCACACTGATCTAGTTATAATATAGACTTTTCATACTTACTTTCTTCAGTCTTAATATAGTTTAAATATCAAAAGTGCTCCAAAATATTTGTTAAAGGCTAATATTTGCTAAAAAAAAGTGGCAAAGGTTTAATTTAAATCTGTAAACAAGGATAAAGCTGGAAAAGAAGGCTAACAAATGTGCAGGGGGAGGGGAATCAAGCTTATTAGAAATAAAATAAATATGTTTAAGAATGTAAAGTTTTATGTTGACAATTATATTAGCAAATGTTTTTAAAGCATTGCTTCAATTTCTCTAACTAATATAGAACAGAGTATGATCATATAATTTTACCCAAATCTTCACTTAATTTCCATAACTTGCAGAAATTCTTAAGGATAGAGAAATAATATGTTAGGAGAAGGAAATGAAATTATAAAGTGTTGATTACTGCTACAATCTTATTGTGAAAGGTTTTAAGGGAGAGACAGCTGCTACTCTTGATACACTATCACACAACTTTCTTAGGGTTTAGTATTCTGAATATCCTGCACATAGCAGCTGTGTAGCAAATACCTGTGAAATCAAAATCCATCTCTGGCCTAGTATGGTACTCTTTTTCCTACACTACAGTGAGATGACTGACTCTAACCTACTATATATGGGTATTAGAGGAATCATTAAAAGATGTGAATCAATTAGAAAATAAAATTATTAATAATCATTCTAAAAAGCTTAATGATGCTAAACTTATTTGCATATGGTCATGAAGTGTTTATTAAAAACAGCCTAAGCCTAAAATGCAATCAATATTTACCTATACTATATTTAATTTTTCATTCACAAATAGTAAAACCAGTTACCATATAATAGAAATATAAGTCAATATTTAATATATTTAACAATATCAGGTAAGTCAAGGGCAAGTTTACACAAATATGTCAAGAAATCATTTTCCCTTTCCCTTTAAAATCCAAGTTTTGAAAAAGATACATAAAGGAAGGATTTTGGAGCAATGCATTAGTTGATTAGATTGACTCTGAAAATACAACAACGTATTTTGTACAAGGACCAAAAAGGGTCACCATGCAAATACTCCAAGGTTGAATTTACCATTGTCTCTAAATCTTATCACAAGTCCCTTAAAAGGTTATTAACAAATAAAAATATTCAGACTCAATCCCATAATCTACAAAAAATGTATTTTCAAAATTTCCTTTGGGTCCTTGCTTTGGCAGTGCCAAATAAAACTGAAATCACACGGAAAAGATTAGCATGACTCCTGAACAGGGATGACATACACATTCATGGTGTTCCATAGTTTTAAAAGGAAAAGAAAAATGGGCAAAGAGTATATAAAAGGACAATTTGAAGTTACTGAAGTGGAAAATTAACATATGAAAAAGACCTTAATTTCTCTAGCAATCTAGGGAATACAAACTTAAAAGGAATATAAAGTACAGATTTTTCTCATTAGAAAACAAAAGCGTCCTTGGGAGATTCTGATGAAGTCAATTCTGGGAACTGCTGCTATGTCATACTGAGAGTTCTAAGAGCTTTTGAGAAGTTCGGGATACTGTGTAGAATCATAACCAGTGTCTATATCCAGGCTGGTATTTACTTTACTGTTAAATGCAGACAATACAAAAGAAAATGTCAAGTTTGAAGTGATGCAAAGAAAGCATGTGCATGAGAGGGGGACACGGCTTTGCAACAATTCAGCAGTGGATCCTCAGACAAACCACTCCCTGTCCACAAATTCCTCCTCTGTTGTGTGAGTAGGCGAGCATTAAGACAGTTCCCTTCCTGACATCTAGTCCCACAGCAGCTGGAAAAACAAATCTATGTGCAAATGTGGGAACTGGTTCTGTAGTCTTTTCCTGACTTGCAAAATCATCAAAGTAACTATCAAGGCAAGGGCCTGCTAATACATTTGCTATCTAACTTACTTCAAATGTTTTTATTGTCTTCTATTTTATTTATTTCTTGCTCTGGTCTTTATTATTTCCTTTCTTTTGGCAACTATGGACTTCTTTTCCTGCTCTTTATTACTTTCTTTTTTGGTACGACTAAGACCTTGGTGCTTTCTTCTTTTCTGATTTGTACCTTTATTTCTGTAAATACTGCTCTAAACAATGCTTATGCTGAGCCACAAAGGTTTTGGTATGTTGTGCTTTCATTCTCCTTTGAGTCTAGGAATTTCTAAGTTTCGCTTTCAATTTTTTTAATTACTCAATAGCTTTATGGTAAAATGTTTCTCAGTTTCCATAGTATTTTCTTTGTTTAGTTATTGATTTCTAGTTTTACATTATTATGAGCAGAGAAAATGTGTTGTACCCTTTCTATTAGGAGCCAAGTACATTAACCGTTTACATCACCAGGGACTCTTGGGTATATTAATATTCTTCAAAAGTTAACTCACAAAGCATTTAGGGTTTACTCTAAACTAGGAAAGGCCTGGAACTTCCCAGAGACATTGCTCCCACAACTAAATAACTCTGATGGTAAAAGACTTACCCTACCAAGTACGAGTTTCTTCTGTTGAAGTTTTAGAAGACACAATAGGACAAATACAGTAGGACAGAAAGAAAGGAGAAATGAAAGAAAAGTCCTATTCCTAAAATAACTGCCTTAGACTAGGAAGGTCTCACGAAAGGGAATACTAATGATCTGACCTAGATAATAAGTGAAATGTACTTTAATGTGCACAAGCTGATACAAGGTAAAACACCCTAGACAGGTATGCTTAGAAACCATACACATCAAAGAACTTTCCAAAGTTATATGGACTAGAAGGGGAAGCTCTTCCACCACCTGAATTTTCTCCATCTTGCAGAGAAACTCAACCTCCCAACCATTGTAAAACGAACACAAATATGTAAAATCAAATTAATATGTGCTTATGGATCAAAAGAGTCACAGCAAAATACAAAGATATTTTTGTTGTGACTTTGAGGGTATTAATTATTGGGTTTCTTATAATGCTATTAGTACCATACACAGAATATCAAACTAACGTTTCATTTATTTTTCAGATGTAAGGTCTTCTTACCTTATTTCCTTCGAGTATTTGGCAAACCGATGGGCTTTTCTCGCAAGAATAAACCTGGAGAGAAATTACATTCGAAATGTCAGTTTAGAGATGCAAATCTAAGAGTTTCCCCTTTTCTCTGAAGTATGTTTGCCTCAATCTACTCGGTATTAATGAACTCTCCCCTAGCCCAGACAGTATTGCCTTCTCCAAGAGCAAATCCATGTTGTCTTCAGTCTGCTTCTATGTCTGAAATCTCCGTTGTGCTATGAGATACCTCCTAGTCTATATTGTATCACGTATAGTGTGTATCCCCCAAATGTAGTGTGTCCCCAAAATGTAGCACAATTTTTGGCATACAATAGGAAACAAAATGTGGAATGATTGAATGCTGCAATTTTTGTCCTCTGACAGATACTTGATAGAAACCGCAAAGACTGACATTTATGTGCACGCCTATAATGGATGCCAGGTATGCCAACCAGATACACCTTCAGGACCAAGGTAATCAGCACCATTCGATGAAAACGGAATTCTTCCCTGATAAGTGAATGCTGCAGTGAAGAAATGCCTTGCAGAAGTTCCCACCCTTTATCAGTGGTGGTCCTCATTCACTGATTGGCCCTGGGGTAGAGTACGGGTACCCAAAGGCTAGCCTTTTTTCTTTCTGAAGAGTCATACTAGCTCCAGCCTTCTTCATGGGACAGTGAAGGTCTTTCTTGAGACAATAGTATCTAACTTCTTCCTCTGCCCCATCTTGCTTCACCAACGCGCCGCCCCATGAGCACTTCGCAGTAAACCTACTGCACGCTAATCCCTACCTCAGAGTCCACTTACTGGGAAAATGAATGAGCACAATCCACAAATACAGTAACTCAGCACAACTCAGTGATAATCAGCTTGCATACTTTTAATCAAATGTTGCTGTTATATGTTGTTGTGTCAGTTCTGACTTGTGACTCAATGCACAAAATAACAATACTGTCCAGTCCTGTCCCACCCTCATAATCATTCTTAAATCTGGCCACTAAGCCAATCCAGCTTGTTGAAGGTGTTTCTCTTTTTTACTGATCCTCTACTTCACTGTTGAGCATGATGTCCATCCTCCAGGGACTGGTCCCTCCTGATAACATGTCCAGAGTACACGAAACTATGGTATGTCTCAACATTATCTCTCTCTTTTTTGTTTGTTTGTTTTCCCATGATCTCTTTTAAGGAACATGCTGGTTGTACTTCTTTCGAGACAGATTTGTTCATTTTCTTGGAAATCTATGGTATATCAATATTTTTTGCCAGCATCATCATTCAAAGTATCAATACTTCTTTGGTCTTTTACATTCCTTGTCCAGCTTTTGTATACACACAGGGCGAATGAAACACATCAAGGCATGAGTGAAGAGTACTTTAGTCCTCAAAGGTTCATCTTTGCTTCCTAGGATTTTAAAAACATCTTACAGGATATTTGTCCAATGCAATATGTATAATTTGATTTCCTGATTGCTGATTCAAGGGATGTTGATGGTGGATCCAAGTAAAATAAAAACCTTGGCAACTCCAATCTTTCCTCCATTTATCATGATATGGCTTATTGGTCCATTTGTGAGGATTTTCTTTTATCATGAGGCTATAGTCTTTGATATTCAACAGTAAGTGCTTCAGGTCCTTTTCACATTCAGCAAACCAAGTTGGATCATATGCATGTCACAGGTTGTTCATGAGTCGTTTCTCCACTCTTGATGCCACATTCTTCTGTACATATCATACATTTCAGCTTGTTGGGTTATTTTCTCAGTATACAGTTTGACTAAGTATGGTGAAAAGTATGATGCATCAATTCTGATGTACACCTTTCCTAATTTTACACCACTGAGGATCCCTATTGTCCCTTATTCAGTTCAAATGGCTGTCTTTTGGTCTAGTTGGTGGGCAAGGAAGCTGTCTTCCAAAATATTTAACTTAGATCATTGAGTATTTCTAGACAAGTTTGCATCTGATTGCGGAAGCATCTCAATGTGTATTTTGTCCATGCCTAAACCAAATAAAACCTACTGCCTGCCATCAAGTTGATTCTGACTCATACCAGCCATATGGAATAGAGTGGAACTGCCTCCTTTGGGTTTCTGAGATCAAAAATCTTTGGAGGCTCAAGAGCAGATAGTCTCATTTTCCCCTGTAGAATGGCTAGGGATGCAAAGCGGGGAGCAAATCCTGAAGCCTTGGTTTGGGCCAATGCCCTCAGTTCAGTTTGGACGTCTTTCTTCAATACCATTGATTCTAGATCAAATGCTACCTCCTAAAGTGGTTGAATGTTGAAGGTACATTTTTTTTTTTTGCAACTCAAGGTTTGATTGTGTTCAGTTCTTTCAGTCCCAGAAAAGTGGAGCATGTTTTTCTTCTTTGGGTTTCTAACTCCAGGTTTTTTGGACATTTCATTATAGTACTAAACTTCATCACCATGAACTACCCCTTTGACGTTTTCTGAACGGTTCTCTGACTCCATCATTTCTTCATTGCTTTTGCACTACTCTACACTCAAAAGCAAGTTTCAGAAACTCTTGTAAAAATGATGTTACTAACTGCATGTACATTTCAAATAACTTCGTTGTAACATGCAGTCTTTATACTGATAATACAAAGCTTTCAAAAACTCCAAATGAGCTAACAGCGAATGAGATGATTTTTCAATTAAAAAAATTTTAAAACTGTATTCATTTTACCTAGATTAAAAAGATGAGAATTCCAGGACTGAAAATATGAGGGAGTTTGACAACAATTGTGTAAAAATGGAATTATAAGATAACAAAATCTCTCCATAAATATTTTTAAGCCCCCTCACACATGGCTGAAAATAAACACCTCCCGTCCTTCTCCCTATCCCTCCTTTCTTGCCTCAATGAACTTCTTAATTTGATTGTTAATTCCTTTATGGCAATTATTTGAAACTATTATTTGACTATTATTATTTGATCATTCTAGGATGCAAAAATATAAAAGGTATCTGTCCCAACCCAGGGAAAAGTATTTTAGAAGCTGTAGATTATTGATTTAAGAACTTTTTGAAAATTGTACGTTATGGGATATACACAGCATTGGGTAAATCTGCTGAACAACACTTCTTTAAAGTGTTAAAACACAAGGAAGTTACTTTGAGACCTTTATAAAGTGCACCTGACCCAAGCCATGGTATTTTCAATCTCATGTGCATGTGAACACTGAATGCTGAATAAGGAAAACTGAAGACAAATAGATACATTTGAATTATGCTGCTGCCGAAGAATACTGGAAGTGTCGCACACTTGACAATAGGGATCAACACAGAGGCTACAACGATGGATTGAAATGTAAGAATCCTTGTGAAGATGACACAGGATTGAGAGGTGTTTTGTTCTGTTATGCATGGGGTCACTGTGAGTTGGAACCAACTCGATGGCACCTAACAACAACAAATGGGATACACTCATAACTTCGCTTTATCCAACATGTAACATTAACGTTTGCTACTAGTTAGTTTAGTTAAAGCGAGGTCTATATATACAAGGAACCCTGGTGGTGTAGTGGATTAAGCATTGGGCTACTAATAGGAAGGTTAGAAGTTTGAAACCAAAAGCTGCTCTTCAGGAGAAAGATGAATTTTCTATTCCTCTAAAGAGTTACAGCTCAGAAATCGAAAGGCAATTCTATCCTGTCCTATAAGGTCAAGCTACGTCTGCCAGATCTCAAACTACAAACAGCATAACATCTTTAAATATATATACAGCTTTGGATAAAATGTTCTTTAACTTTCTTTGAGGTTTTATTGAGGAAATTCACACCCTAGCTTTGTGCTGGGTACATGTCACGGTTTTTAAAAAATCATTTTATTAGGGCTCATACAGCTCTTATCACAACCCATACATACATCAATTGTGTAAAGCACATTTGTACATTCATTGCCCTCATCAT